TGAGTCTAATGAGTGGATCAGATGGTTCTGTTTGAACTGGATCAGAGGAATCAGCAGCTGGAGTCAATCAGAACCACTCAGGAGAAGTTAGGAGGCCACGAAACTAAGAAAATCTGATTAACACCACTTTCTACATCACAAAAACTGATCATTAAAGTTTCTGTATGAATATTTACAGAAGACGTGTGATATATTCAAGAAAGAACCAAAGTTTCTGATAGTTTTTCGTGACAAAGATTTTCATGATTCCATCGTAGAAAACTCAAAGATTCGTTGCAAAATCAAGACCGTCCTGATAAACGTGGATGTAAACTTCTGTTCTCGAGCCCAGACGGGCTGTTTTCTGTGAGCAGCGTCGGTATCAGTGGATCAGGTTCACTTCACTGCTAAAAGCCAAAACAGGGATTAATGCTGATTAATTGCCGGTGCGTAGGTGAAGAGGACGTTTCTCCGTTAGTGTTTGTGCTCAGTGGGCTCAGAGCTGCTGTTTAAAACATGGCTGCTGTGTTTACCAGGAGACTAAAGGTTACTGTTTCAGAACCTTTTTTGGCCGAGCTGCAATTCCCTGAATACACAGAACACAGAATACACGGAACTACATGAACTATATGAATCCACGACGGAGATAAGACTCGGCTTCACGCCCGTATACATAAACCTGTGGATCGTCTGCGTCCATACGAGTGCGACTCTGAACACTCGTCGTCTTTTCGTTTAGCAGCAAGCGACGGGCTGCGAGCTTCCCTTTGAGACCGATCCGAAGACGTGAAATCGGCGGCGGCGCAAACTCACCTGGCCTGATGTGGAGACAGACGGTCGGGAGGAAAAGGGATGAAGAGATGAGCTGATAAAATCAGAGTAGAGACAGATATGGGCGAGCTGCTCCAGGCTGGACAGCACAGTGCCTGGACTGGACGACTACCTCCCCCCTGCTGGACGTTAATGATCAACCCCGGACCGATCACGGCTGCCACAAGACACCACGGAAGAAGTCAGAGCCAGACTGTGGACTGAATCTGAATATGTTGAGAACCAGAAAGGATCAAGTCCTCTGTGTTTTCAGTGAACCGATTCGTCTCCTGTCAGACGGAGCAGCTCAGTCATTTGTCTTCCCTCTAAAGTCAGCTGACGAAGAGGATCCTCAACACGTCGCTCAGTCAGTTTGAGCTTTCTTTTATTTATGGCGGTAACCATCGGTAACACAAGTTCCACATCAGTAATACACAAATGTACCGAAAAGGACCACAAAGGCCCGCAAAAGGCCCACAGTGACAAAAA